AGTATACAAAAATAAATAAATATTATAATGAAAATTAAACAACCTGAGGCATGTATCAAAACATAATTTGCTTGTTTTATTGTTGAATATTTTTTGTTGAAATGTCAATAAATTATGTAAAAACAATACAGGAAATTTTTCCCAATAAATTCCAATTCAATGAAAATACTTAACGAACGGGATTAGACGGTAAGTCAGTAAATCTTATATAAATTCAAGATTATTTAAACTATCGATATAAATGATCTAAATAACAATGTAATAATGCTTCGGGAGTTCTATATCGGATTGTAAATAGGAAGAAAATATTGTATGAAAGATTGATTTAAAAAATACATGATAATAATGCAAGGTTGACGATGCTTGAAAAAATAGGAATGGTAAGTGTTGGTAATTTTCAAAAGTTTAAATGCTATCTCGTGACTTTATTGCTTCAGAATGAATATTGGAACAAAACATTTCCACGTCTAAGAGCTCGAATTTAAACATATACATCAGTGTATTCTCCTTTGACACTTATAAGGCAATTAAAGTTTGGAAAAAATCTTTGACACCTGATATTGAACTCAATGATAGTGTAGCACTCTTCAGAAGTTATGGGCATTAATAATTTCTAAATAAGACCTTATCTAAATCTAGTTGCTAAATCGTAAACGCACCTTTTATTTCAATACACAAACAATGTTCGTATCTTTCTTCTTAGGCTTTAAACATCAATTCTCAAATATTCAATATTTACACAGAAAAGTGACCACAGAGTGACGGGATAACGACATATAGATTAAATTGATACTACAAAGAAACGCCACGTGTGTTTGCTGTGCAATAAATCAGAAAATATTGTTAGAACGGATTGTCCTAGAACAATATGCCACAGGGTCCAACGGTGTAAAACTAGCCCGTGATAGTGTTTCCAAGGTGTTAAATTCCACAGGAATTTTTAAAAAATTGGATTATTGGTAAAAGTTAAGTGATAACGAAAGCTACGGTACCTAACACTGGACAATCTATGACGTTTCCGAAGAAAGTGGAACATTTTGCTCCCTGAAAGATTGGACATTCCATATCCGTTCATGTGACATGTTTGGATAGACAGTGTACTAGGAAGTAAGTGTTCCTTAATGGTGATAAAGCTGTGTATAAAGTGAAAGAGTCAATAAACAGACAATGATAAGTTTCCAGTAATGGCGAGGGGACAATTGTTTGGTATATGGTGACTTCGAGTGTCCTCATGAGTCATTGGATTCCCAACTTATAGCCACATTATACTGGGGTAAGTCTACATTATGACTAAAGAAGTTATGATTTGGATTTTTTTATTTTTTTTTTTTACATATTTATGTACATGTATTCTCTATTAATAAATATTACAAAGCAAACTATATGTTATTTTTCTACAATTAAGAGATCTAAAATGTATACTATTCCATTGACTTTCAAAATAAAATTAATTAATATACATGAATCCAAGTTCCAACTTGACATCTTACTTTTGTGACTAACAGTATTTGTGTAGTCAATACTGTCAACTAATTTTATGTAGATCCAATATTTTAAGTCGGTTTTAGGGTCCTTTTTTAAACATTGAACATGGCAGAAATTCCTTTTTAATAATGGATTGCTTGATGAAATAGATTATAAAAGAAAGAAAATTTGACAGATTTTGCAGCCTTAATACTTATCTTAAATGTCTATATCTTATAAATTTACACACAAAAAATATTGCGAAACTTAGCATATTTGACACTGAAATCGAAACAAATTCAATGATATTCTCACTAATGGTTTATCGTATGGAAAATTATCTGAAAGGAATACTCACTTGCAATAATCAATTTAACACACTTGGGATTTGAATTAATTAAGACTAAAACTACGATGGGAACAATTCGAGCCCTTCCCCCAAGGATTGGCCCAGCTGTCATGCAGTAGACATGAGTATTCCTTCTTTGTTGATATCGGGGATATTCACACAAAAAATCGAATAATGTGAAACTTTACACATTATAGAATTATTAGAACTGTACGAAGATCTGGAGAGACTCCTTATTAATGGGTACATATGTACTAGTATTACGGGAGTCACAAACATGATGCTCCCGTCCTGACGCTAACGTTTTTGTTAAATATCAACAAAACAAAACAATCTGTCAGAAGGGACAGTTTTCTGGCTCAGTAAAACAATACGAACATTTCCCATATGGGTTTATAATTTGACAAGGCTAGATGGAACGTACATTAATGTTATGATATTTCAGAGTATTCTTTCCTTCATTGAAATTGTTTTGCATTTTAATAATTACGTACTGCACCACTATGAATAAGAAATAAGTACTACTATTATCCCTGAGGTAAAAAAGATATATCATTTTCAAATAGCACCTTGACCTGAATTTCCTTACAGATAAATTAGTTGACGTTACATTCTGTTTTGTGATTTTGTAGAATTAAAACTTTTCAATCAAAGATCTGGGGTCATATATGTTCCTTGTGAATGAATTTAATGGTATTAATGTCTGAATGTATTAGATGTATCTTTTGTAGCCACGGGACAAACTTGATTAATAGAGTGGAGTCTTTTGGCTGGTGTTAGGCCTATAATCTGAGGGAAAACTTCACTTCACTATATGGCATACTATCAACAAGTGATCAAAACACACGTAAGTCCAAGCTAATTATTTTACTTTTTTATACATATTATTAAATTTGAAAAAAGTTTTGCTCTCTCCATGTACATATGCTGAACTTAAAAACTCATGCTTGTTACTAATATTGTAGTAGTATTGCATTCTCTTTTTAATAACCCCAGCAAACAAAGCTAAGTTAAATATACAAGAATCACCTTGTCCATATAAGTAAGTAAGTACTGGGTAATTTATATATTTTAAGAGACATTTGTACATTTATCTCTCCATTTGTTTTTCTGTCTAGCTATCTAGTTCACCGTACACATTTCTTCGTCTAAAAATGCTTTGTAATATATATATAATTATGAAATCATATATAAAATTTCAACATATGCACCTGCTATTTTTAATTAATCTGTCGTAAAGTTTTGGGCTTTAATAAAAGTTTCTTACATTACTTCTGCGACATGCATATGAAGAGAAAAATTTTTGAAATGGTATTATTTTGAAATCTCAGGGTGCATGGAAAAGAAAAGGGTATATCTTAATTCTTTACCAATGTCGTTTGAACAAGATCAAGGACATAAGGGTGTATAAGCGCTAAATCATAATGTGCTGGGCACAACTTTGAAAGGAGAAACAATAGATTATACAATAGCCAAAACAGAGATCCATACCTTGAAGCAAGATAATCAGGCAAGGTTTCATAAATTAAAATCTGTTGCCTTGCAATTGATCATAATTTCGAAGCCGAAAAAATACTTGGTCATATATTTGAACAAGGTCACTGTATCAGATGTGGAAAAATTCTGTCCATGCCATCTCAGGGGCGCATCCAGCAATTTTTGAAAGGGGAGTTGACCCCCCCCCCCCAAAAAAAAAAAACAGGGAGAGAAATAATGACTTATTTAGGTTACTTACTTCAATAAATGGTCCCCAAAATTGTATAGCCAAATTTTGATAAAATATTTTGATGATATCAATCTCGCATGTTACTTATCGTATATTGAATTAAATAGTGTAAGAATATTTTCTATCATGAAAACGCTTTGTGAAAGGGGGGAGGGTAATGAAGGTAAACGAACGAAAAGATATAGGGGAAACTATATCTAGTAAGTGGAATGGACAAAGATTGCAGATTGAGTTGTGAACTACGTACGTTTATATTCAAAGTGTATTCGAATAAAAATATCTACTCTAGAAAGCGCGTTTTATCCTCCTTTCTCCACGTGGCAAAAGTACATGTAAATGGAGGCTCAAATTTCCGAACCTGCCCCCCCCCCCCCAATTCTGAATCCGTTAGTGCATTTGTATAAGATATATATATATATATATATATATATATATATATATATATATATATATATATATGTGTGTGTGTGTGTGTGTGTGTGTGTGTGTGTGTGTGTGTGAAAAAGTTCTTTAAAAACATCTGAACAGGTACAACAATAGATCAGAATAAAATACAAGCATACATGTATTTCCATGAAGTGTAGGTTCAAATCATGGCCCCAGGGCTAGGGAGGAGTACAATTAGGATGCAATGTCTTAAAGATATATAAATGTCTTCAATTTCAACAAGATAACAGTTTGTTTTGCAGGCTTGTCCTTAAGCCTACATGCTTAATTGCTGGCTTAGTTGAGCGTTCTGGTTTGTGGCCCTTGTAATGTATCAATAATTGTGTATTACTAACTCTACAATCCTCTAACAGTTTGGTTTTATTTCTTCTTTTTTTCCCCACGTATTTTTACTTTTTTAGAATAAATTAGTTTTAAAGTGGGAAAGGAATCTGACTTTATATGAACTTTTTTATGTGCAGGTTATAAAACGCGCCCTCCTACTGTTTTCTATAATTTTCTAGCTCTCGTTGCGTTATGATTATAGCACCTACAGATTAATTTGACTTGGTGCTTATTACATGTAGGATAAGGACATAACTAATTGACCCTTTAGAGCGACATTTGCAAAGAAATAAATTTGCTTCATTATGAATTTTCGATATGAATAACGTCAACCTTTTTCACGTCATCAGATTGATTTTAAGAGTGATCACGTCATTTGCAATATCCAGGATAAGATAAATATTATGTCATAATCAATGAAAACATAGCATTTGAGCTGTTAAATTTTCAAAATTTGTACAAAGTCGACGAATACCACATGTTACAGACTGTTAAAGTGGGTATGTGTGAATGTATGTGCATAAAGAGAGGTGGAAAGATAATTAAATTTGAGTTATTATCTGCTAATTTGTTAATATTTATAAATAAAAACTTCATTGTTATCTACTCCAGGTGAATTTACTTTGTCTGCTACCGAGCACCTGCAGAATTAATGTGCTGGAGTTACCCCTAGAAACGCCTCCCCACAGAGTACGGTTGCTCCTGATTCCCTTCTGATTGTGTTTCTACAACTTTGTAACAACCTCATTTCTTCATATCTCACCGATTTTCATCTTTAATCAATGCAAGACTTTACTGGATGCAAGCCTCGAGGGTTCCATATGGTTTGGGGAACATAAACAAAACAGAAAATGAGTCGTCGTGCTAGTTTGTTCGCCAAGCAAAATCCAGAAAAAGCAAGACCAAAAGTTCGATTTCCGGACGAACTAGTGTTTTTGGACAATATCAAAGAGAACGACATCCCAGCTTTAAGTGGAATGTTACGGAGGGCCAGTCTTCAGGTGGACATCAGTGGTATTAACGATGCAGGTATATCTTGTAACTTTCCAGCCATTTTTTTCTAATTTACTTTTTGATTTACTTAATGATAATGAAGTTAGGATAAGATGTTTAGTTAAGCATGATTAATGTAATATAAACAATTGAAAACAACTGTAATGCATATAAAGATCCTCCACCATTACACACGATTTTTATTTACAAAATGTTTGTGTTTATTTTTAAAAAAAATGATCTTTCTCCTGGCAAAATGAGATAAAGGGATCTCTTGAGAATTCATCATTACGATTGAAAGAACAAAGTGGGGTTCTAATAATCATTCTATGCAAGTACACTCTGTGTTTCATGGTAGGGTTCTACATTATTTGTCTTGAAGGCTAAGTTTATACTCCACAATATATCAACCTACAATGAACGTAAACTACACCGTATTTTCAAACCAGATCGTCGATTCATCTTATCATTGAGTTCCCTTTTATAACTTCATTGGTTTCTCGAAGATCTAGGAGGAAAAAGAATAGTGCAGTTCCATTAAAAGAGTTCGTCATGTATTCATGGAAACTATAATAACATTTACTCTAAAACTTAAAATACTTAGAGTTCAAGGTCGCTCAAGAGGTTTAACTGCAAGCCATTAGTGCTGCTGCGAGCATCTGTTTTGTTTCTCCCTCAAGGTAATTGGCACATCAGTGCAAGTTCTATCAATTCTGGACATGATAAATATAAACCAAGTGTTCTATTGCAATAATAACTAGATTTCATTTTAAAATACTGGGATATAGATAAATTTAAGAACAGGAACAAATATATCCAGACACTCTCACATTTAGAGTACTTGCTCATACATGAGGGTCGCCCGCGTGGCGTTGCTCTAGAGTCGCGGAGTAAGGAGTAAATCCTTACGTCGCGGGTTCGAATCCCACTGTGGGACGTGGAGACAGGTCCTTTGGATGAGACCGTATAAACCGAGGTCGCAGTAGGTGCTGGCACAAAAAAAGATCCCTCGCTGCTCAATGGCCCTAAGTGCCGAGCATAGGTCAAAATTTGCAGCTCTCCACCGGCAAGCGGTGGCGTCTCCTTATGAGACGTTAAACAACAAACAAACAAACATACATACATGAGGCGTACATGTATATAGGAGGCACAAGGAGCCAGACGCGTCACGTAAAGGGTATAACGTCTTAAGTACCCTATCCACTGTACATATGGTAGAAAGTTCGACTGGTGAATGTAAAGAATTTCTTGTTTGTGCCCAGTGTTTCCTGTCTGTTGCTCTTATTCATGGGATAGAAAAGTCAAAGTTACGGTAAAGTCAAAACAAATCATAATAAGATAAAATTCACTTATTCTTTCTCCCCTTCACTTATAACGCCGTTAATAACTTTGAGTCTCAACATGATTGTAGCATATTTGTGATAAATGAAACTGCGTACCACACTTTTCACATACTAGTTTAAAAGTTTAACAATAACCAGGAAAAAATTTGAAAGTCAGCGAATTAGTAATTGATCTAAGAGTGTGATATATGTATCAAATATGTCTGCACCCCCCCCCCCCTCTCTCTCTGGAATTTCAGAGTTATTGATTTTCCTATGTAAAAATAACCAAATAATTACCTTACTCCTTAAAATCTTATTAAAATGGAAAAGAGAATCATATAAGTGAAGACGAGTTAGTAAGAAAAGTGCATACATACCCCAAGTGTGTTCTGGTAAATTAGGTTTGTAAAAAAAAAATTCTGGATCTGACGTACATTTGTTAGAGTTAATGTGGAGACCCAGACCCCACCCCCACTCCCGGAATAAAATCCTAGATCCGCGCCTGCAGACTTTCAATGGCTTTGAGTACTACAGTTGCAAAGCTTCTTCTGCTTGCATTATTCGGAAAATTTGAGATGATATTGTCTTTAAAATAAGAGGCCCATGCTCCAATAGACTCATCTGAGTCGTTCTAAAGAAAAGATTTTCCCTATTCTTTCTTGGCATGAAAATTTCTGACCCAATTTTTTTTTCTCCTTCTGTACACGCATTATTTATTATTTGCGCCGATTTAACTCACCCAATTATACCTCCCAGGGTCTATCTAAAAAAAAAAATTAAACTTAAATCCTTTGGCCAAGCTACTCTTGAATAGAAATTTTTAAATTTTCTATATTACTATTCTTATGTAATACTCTCGTTTCCTTGCTCTGGCTTAATCCAACCACCGTGCGTTTCGTGGGGTGGGGGTATGATCTGAACAAACTTGATTCAGCACTTCCTTTTGAATACTTTCATATTAATACACTAATCACAACCTTGGTGATACTGAGAAAAACATTCTCAAGATCCCCCCCCCCCCATTTTTTTATCATTTATATATGTTGATCACCAAATTGTGGTTTCATCCTACCCCCAGGGCCATGATGTGAACAAATCTGAATCTGGGCTACACGAGTGCAAATTGACTATTCATGTCCCGCTGTTTTTGAAAAGAGGCTTTAAAAAGATTTTTTCCTCATTAGATCCTCATGTAAACCTTTGATTTTTTTTATTGTGGCCACAGCCTGTCCCTGGGGGCCTTTGAACAAATTTGAATCTTTACTACCTTACGATGCTTGCTTATTATATGATTAATCATGGCTCTGTTGTTCAAGGAAGATTTTTAACGATCTTCCTTCCCTGTTTATTATTATGTACATTTGACCCCCTATTATTGCATCCTACCGTTGGGGGCTAAAATTATTTGAACAAATTTGAATCTATAGCTATACTGTGTCAAGAAGCTTTCTCTTACGTTTCACTCCTGTTGGCCCAGTGGTTCTTGAGAAGAGTTTTAAATGGTCCCATCATTTTTATCTAGACTACTCCTTTCGATCAGATAAGCTAACTTAAGTAACTGCGATGTCCTCGAATTTCATATTGCAGTAGAAGTGGAAGGTAATTAAAAATATGGGTATATTCGAAGGGCCAGATGCCTTAAAAATCTATGTATTTATTTGAATATAGTTTATTTACTAGCATACTGTAGAGTTTCACATGATGCGTTATATCATAACATACCGTTCAAGTTATTTAAATGAACTTACATATGTGGGTGCCATAGTTTATAAAATGGTTAACCTGAAAGATATTAATCTGACAATGTCAACGAACTAAACTGTCTGACCTTTCAAAGTGTCAAAATTTTATGTCGTAAAGCGCATGTCCTGTTTTTAACAGTGAAAAGGTGGGAGTGTTAATTGGCCCCCCAGCAAAGAGGCTGAAAGCCATAGAACAAGACTCCATCTGACTGCCGCCTAAGTATCTGGCAGTCTCCACATAGTTATTTGGCGGTCGCCAGATAATGTGGCGAACGGAAAATTAGTATCCATAAATTAACAATGAGACAAGAATTATGGATGTTGACACATCCTAATCTATATTTTGAATGGGTTTACTTACAAAGAAATTCTGCGTTTTCTGCTGATCATTACCTCTGTGTTATCAGTTTAAGAACGCTTATGCGATTTTCATATCAACAGAATCTTTGAATTTCCAACGCCAACACAACACCAATATAATTGATGCCAAGATCTTTTTTTTTAAACGAAACAGAAAAAAATTAGAGGAAAATGTATTTCTGTGATGCAACAACGCAAAAAGGTCAAACTTCGTAGCACTTCTCAATATTAGTTCACATCACGCACATGCATGGTGTAAGGATAACCTAAATCTTATCTGGCGGTCGCATTGCATTACCGAAAAAATTTTGAAAAGTGGTCGGTTATCATAACCGAAATTAATTTTTTTCATTTCCCTAGGAATATTAAATATTACTTCAAAATTCAAATTGAGTTGCCTGTTGAACCCTAAAAATGCAGCAACTGCATCCAGAAATACAGTTACTTTGTATCTGGAGCCGTGTCACGACAGCATTATAATCTCCTCTTGGCTACTGTAGACGTACGTTTTTCCGCGTGAGATTAATTTATGCTATGTATGAGGTCAAAATTTTGGCACCGTGTAATTCATGGACTGGAGGCATGGAGTGGGGTTATGGAGTGGAGTTTGGAGTCAAATTTTGGAGTCTTATATTTTTTTTTAAAACATGAATGGAAAAAGATGTTCAGGAAATTGCATTATTATGAAAGTCTTTAATTCTTTTTTGTACATTTGTTTGCTATTTCTTGTCTTGTACTAAACAGATTGACAATTCATAGGTACTATGACTTAATTAAAATTTGTAAGTTTCTGAAACTTAAGTAAGAAGTTCTTAAGTAAGTATTTGTAACTTTAGAAAATTACATCAGTATTGAATAGACAGACATGATACTGACAAGATAACCCCTGTTCTTTAAAAATATTTGGAAACTGTTGAATATAATTAATCAACAGATATAATCGGTCTTACTGATTGTTTTAATACAGTTTCATTTGACGTGTTAAGGAACCTGTCAAGAGCTACTAGGTTCTGTGTTTAAATATACAATTTATAAGTATCAGTATATACACTCACTTATTCATTACCTTCCATGTTAAATAAAAAAAAAGAAATTATAATCAGTTTTAAAATAAGTTTCACACTTTATACCACTATTATATGGTGTACTAAAAGGTTCACTCACTCCCTTACTTCAGCGACATAGCAATTATTATACTAATATCTCTCCCTTTTCCTTGGGTTGTCACTCCCTCACCCTCAAAAACAACAAATCAACTATGGGTCATATCACACTTCAAGTGAAAGCAATGTGTTAATTGTTTTTACTCCAGTTTATCTTTATTAAACATTGAATAAATTTTCAGTTTTCTAATTGATAGTGAAAACTATGTAAGACAACACTGGCTCATAGAAAAGCCAGAATCCTCACACCCAGTTTCAGAGATGCTGATTAAACTTTGAACGATTACCATTTAATTTTGGAGTATGTGATCTAGTGTTGAATTAACTTGAACAGCATGCATGCATTAAAATTATCGCATTCTTTAGGAGTTAATATAAATATTATCATCCCTTAACTAGCATCACAGTGCATTCCTTCCCATTAACTTCTTAATTGATAAAAATTG